CCTTCGCGAAAGAGCACCTCTTTAAGCCGCACAACGTCGACATCGGCCACGTCGCACTGCAGTCGAGGCTGCACCAGCAATTCGTCCGGGTCCGGATTCCCGAGGTCGCGTCTCCGGCCCACGACGACCCCGAGGACGCGACCACGGACGGGGGGCTCAGGAAACGCATTCGGTCCAAGCGCCTACGCGACGCGGCCCGTGAGGCGGCGGCGGCCGAAGGCGAGCCGGCCTCGCCCGCCGACCTCGCGCTCGAGCACGCGACCAAAACAAAGTCGCGCTATCTCGTTGCGATGTGCCAGAACTACTTCAAGGGCAAGACGATTATCTTCTGCCGGTATCGCTCGACTTCGCACCGCTTAGTACTGCTATTTAACCTGCTGGATTTGCCAGCGGTGGAAATTCAAGGGAATCAAACGCAAGATGAGCGCTTCGCTTCGTTTGAGAAGTTCTCATCCGGTAAGGTTTGCTATTTGATCACCACCGATGTGTCCTCTCGAGGGCTCGACATTAGGGATGTGGCGACGGTCATCAACTTTGATCTGCCGCCCACGCTTACCGCGTACATCCATCGCGTGGGCCGCACGGCGCGAATTGGCGAAGCGGGCACGGCCGTTTCCCTCGTGGACGAGCGCCGGGATGCCGATATCATGCGCAAGATCTTGGCGGTGAGCGGTGCCGTCAACCGGCACCAGGTCTCCTCGGTTAAACGACGCGACATCCCAGAGGCCTTCCTGCGGAAGGCCGAGGACGACATTGCGGGGGTCTTTTTGGTCGTGCGCACCCAGCTGGGGGCGGAGCAGCTCGAGCAGCGCATCCTCGACGCCGAAAGGCGCCATGCCGGGGGGGGCAACGTCCTGGACAGCATCACTGCGAAGCCGAAGAAGCAGTGGTGCCTGAGCCGCGAGGAACGCAAGCGGCGTGAGGCGGAGGCCCGCCAACACCATGAAGAGGAGGCGGAGGTCACCGTGGGGTTCCTCCAAAACGAGCTCTCGCAACTCGATCGGGAGGAGTCGGGGCTGCTACGGGAGCAGAAGAAACGACGGCGCGTGGAGCGGGACAGGAAGGCTGGCGAGAAGAATCGAACCAAGGAAAAGACACGGGCCCTACGCCAAAAGAGCGAGAAGAAAGTTCAGGCGGGTGTCGTCAAAAAGCTCAAGCGGCGCAAACTGCGCGAGGCGGCAAGAGAGAAGCGTTCGGCGATGCGCGCGACTAAGAAATCTGGTTCATCGAAAAGTCGCGACGGCAAAAAGCATAGTAAGAAATCTCGCCACACCAAAGGCATGAAGAAACATTAGGGGAGTGCCCTGCTAATATTAATTAAGTGATCTAAATGCAATAAGGAGCGGGAAATTGTGAGTACTGTACGAAGCCCCAATTTTACGCTGCTTCTTAAAATCATTTCCGTTTAAGTACATCATTTCCTCACTTTCCACGCACATTCTCTATTTATATCGGATGTGCGACCTGTAAAAAAAAAGGTATATGGTAAGGGCGAGATGTTTTCAAGTGGAACACTAAAGGGGTTCAATTTTTTTTACATAAGGGGAGGTGGTGATGGTGGTGGGGTCCTTTACCAATTTCTGCATTCCTTTCATACATTTTTTTTTTTCTCTCTATGGTGCACTTCCATCGAAATGTCCCTTTCGTAAAGATTCAAAGGAATTAAATAATATCCAATACAATTCTCGCGAATCAACTAACACAAGGCCTTTTTTTTTTCAGCTAAAACTAATATATACCATAGAAACATAATTTTAAGTTATATTTTACAAAGATCTGTTAATAATTTTACTTCCAATTGCGGAGATAGTCTTCAATGCCTTCGGAAGCCACCAACAATCAAGTTTTGGACAATTTAGCCCCCGTTTTTGCTGGGGGTCTTGCTGGTCTGTGTTCTACCTGTATCACCAACCCTTTAGACACAATTCGTGTACGACTGTCATCCGGCAGTTCTGCCACCGGGAAATCCCATAAAAGCCTCATCCGGACCACCCGAGAGCTCTTTGAAGAAGGCATCCTACATGCGTTCAGTCGTGGGTTAGGTGCGAATATCATGGCATCTATGCCATCCAATGCCATTTACCTCCCAACCTATCACTTTTTGAAGCGCAAAATGGAGGCGTATGGCGTGAACACCGAAATCCGACCGATGATCTGCGCCTGCGGGTCGGTGATGGTCACCAACTACACGCTGGCCCCGCTTTTTGTAGTTCGCACCCGCGTCCAGGTGGACACCAAAATTTCCATCCGCGCGGTCTTTTTAGACGTCCTGCGCCGGGATGGCCCGAGGGGGTTCTACCGCGGCACCGTCACCAACGTTTTGGGTCGTTTTGTCGAGGAAAGCGTCTTCTGGACCGTCTACGAGCTGTTGAAGCGCATCACAAACGAGGGAACGTTTACCGAGCGAAACTTTGTCTGGGCCTCCGCCGCGATGCTGTCCTTAACGGTAGTGGGCAAGCTGGCGGCGACCTGCGTCGCCTATCCCTATAATGTCATGATGAATCACATGCGCACAGTTAACAAACTCACCGGCAAACACGACTACGTCCATGTCGGTCCCACCATCCGACATATCTATCGTAGCGATGGCATTTTGGGGTTCTACAAGGGCCTCTCTCCACAGATTATGCGTAACCTTATTAGTAAGGCAGCACAGATATATTCTTTTGAGCTACTGATGTTCACCTACGCTCGAATGCGCGCGCAGCGTCAATCCCCTATTATGGCCGACCCAATTCATATAGAGTCGACTATTCTGGTGAAAGACTAAAGATTTATTTTATGGAAAAACTTAAAAGAAAGAAAAACAATGACTTTTTTTAAAGTTTTTCTTCAACTGACTAGATGCACTCTTAGGCGTGTTCATCTGCTCCTCCAGTATTGTGTCTGATCGTGAAGCTGGTTGGTTGCTTGAATGATCAAAGTATTTTCATTATAATTTTCGATCTAAATGTCTAGTAGTGTTGGGAAGTTTGTGGCTTGGTTTCGTTTAATCTCTATAATTTTTATGGATGACAAGTCCAGCTCCACATTTTCCCCTCGCCGATCATTATACTGATTGATTTATTTTCCTTTTTTCTCTACAGTGATCCTGCCTTGCATTTCATCATTTTCTTTTTCATGTGTATTGAAAAAAGTAAATAGGAAAATCAACTCATCCATATATATATATATACATATATATATATAGACGAACTGTGAGCTACATTGTCTGTTTATATCCCGAAATAAGGCTTGTTCACACTACTGATTGGTTACTTAAGTCTTGAAGACGAATAGGTATACAAGACGTAATACCTCCTTTGAGCGAACGAGTGTAAAATGAATTCCTTGTCTCTTATAGTGTGTTGAGACAACACCTAATTGCGAATATCACCCGACACATGTGTGATTGTTCTTTTTTTAATTTTTTTGGGGTCTTGTATGGATTTAATCTTTGTCTTTACTGCCCCCTTCCCTTTTTCGAAGATTTCTGGGCTGAAAAGAATTCCAACCCCCGATTACCTCATTGTTTAACCTTCATCGACCTCCGTGATGCCCCCCAAACGTTCGAAATCGAACTCCATCGAGGACGGCGAGGGCGACCTCTCTTCTAGCAAGTCGATCCTCCGCTTTGGGGCGCAGATCTACGAGGAGTACGCCCGGTCCCCGTTAGCGACGCGGCAGGATGGCCTGCAGCTCAGCCGCTTTGGGGACTACCTGCACCACTTCGGCTTCTCCCTGGAGCGCGAGGCGGCCACGCGGGAAGGGGAGGGCTCGGCGCCGCTGGCGGACGCCAAGCCGTCGAGGCCGCCGGCGGAGGAGCCGTCCGCCGTGGCGGGGCTGCCGTCCATCCCCACCGCGGAGGTCGACGCGTACAGCGCGCGGGTGGCGGCGGGGATGCGGGAAAAGCTGCCGACGATGGACCTCGCCGCCCTGGCGGTGTCCGTCAGCGCCCCCTACGAGAACGTCTCGTGGCGCCAGACCAAAGAGGCGTGCGAGCTGATGAAAGTTCGCGGCCTCTACCAGTGGATT